CTATGAATGATACAACGTGGATGCATGGGAAAGTAGAGGATCCCAACCCCTTACTAAATACTATATATCCATTCTAAAGCACCGGTTCAACTTTTAAGTAGCTCATTGGTTTACAAATCATTGATCCATGGATCCAATGTATTGAAATATGCAACACTAATCAAAATTAAAGTGATTGGACTTTCTTTAAATGGGGATCGCTATGGTTGTGAAAATTGAAGGTATTAGTCTCAGGTTGTTAGAGGGGACACTGGATCATGAAAGAATCTATTAGATTTTGATGGTTCCCGTAGGGATGGCAATTTCCCCCATCCCCGTTCGGTACCCGACTTCCCTTACATGATGGGGTTGGGGATGGGGATGGTGATAATATTTATTTATATTATTTATATTTAAAATTTTTCTTTATTTTAAGTAAATTTATTTTTTTAAAAAATATTGTTAATTAACAAAATTTGGGGATTCAGGTCCCCACAAGAATTCGTCTCCGTTGGGGATCGGAGTTGGAGGATGACTTTATTCCCAGTGGGGATTAGGGTCAGGAACGAGAATTTATTTCAAAGTTGGGGTCGGGGGACGGGGAATATGATCCATGCCTTGAACTTGCTCTGTTGCCATTCCTATTCCCCCCAACAATGAATAGTGTTGGTAAAAAGAGGGAGGAGGGTATTTGAGTTGAATAGAGAAAAATAGGTAGGATAGGGAATGAAGTAGAAGGGGAAGCAAAATATAATGTTTGATTTTCTTTTTAATATAAAATAAAAAGAAATAGAGAAGGTAACTCTTCATCTCCTACTTGTAAAATGGAAATGTTTTGGCCATGTTCATTTACAAATTGGTTACTTACCCGAGTTAAGTGTACTTACCCACGTAAATGTTTCTTGAGTAGCACTTATCTGGGTAAGTTCATGTACCCATGTTCTTTTGATTTCCAAATAAGTATATAAAAACTTTTTTATCCATAAAAAACCAATGTTAAAATGAACAAATTCGTCTTATTAGATTTTATAAAATTTTCCTTCAAATGGAAAAATTACTTATTCACCTAGGAGATGGATAAGCTTTACTTGGATAACTTACCCACTATAAAGTTGATAAGTGGAAAAGAAATATCCATTGACCAACTTTCCCCTCTTATTTAACGGTAAACAAATGGAGTCGAAGAAATCATATGATATAACAAATGTCACTCCTTGAGTGGGAGGACATTGAGTCCGAAGACAAAGGATCCGAACGATCCAACTAGACCTATTCATGGGCCAGGTGGGGCCAGGCTTTGTATATGTATCAACAGAATACATTCAGGCTTGAGCCTAAGCTTAGTCCTCATATAAAGCCCGAAGACTGGGCCTGAGCCCGAGTTCGGCTAGAAATTTGAAAATAGAAATTTTTTTCTTTTTTATTCAATAAAAAAGTGTTTTATTTATATTAAAAACCTTCAAGACTCAAAAATAATAAACATCACACTATTACTTGAAAAAAGAGAAGAAGAACAAAAGAAAAATATTGTATATATATTTTTTATTATTTAATATATAGTATCAAATCGAGCTCGGACTCGGTCTCAGGCTATGCTCTTTTGAAAAAGCTCAAGCCTAGCCCAAAAAATATTGGGCTCGATGCTTCAGGCCTGAGTCTAAACCCATAAGCTTAAAATTATGACCAAGCCCAACTTATAACGGGTTGGGCCGGACCGGCCGATTAACAGGTCTAGATCCAAACCAACTCATTTGCTTCAGCCCTTAATATTAGGGTTTCATGTGTTAAAACTCTCTAATCACAAAATGTTAACACCAACTTGTATGTATTATTGCCCTTGAAATAAAAAGATAAAAGGTGAAAAGCTTGAAATTGACAGCAATTGGTTTTATAAAAAAAAAAGAAAAATCCTAGTGGGAGCAGGTATTTGTCTTTGATCAAGTAATAATTTAATACCATGACCGAGGTTTGAAGCAACCATCTCTGGCTTCGTACAAAAGAGACCCAATCTACTGGAAGAAGGAAGTACACTTGCCTTAAATTGATAATGCAGATGAATCTTTTTCTCTTTCCGTTGGAACACACACTCAGGTTTTGTTTTCTGTTCTCCAGTTTCTTACCTCCTTGGTTTGCTCAAACGCTTCAAAATTCAAATCTTTCTGCTCCRTTGCTACCTTTCCAAACAGAGGATTTGATAATATACACACTTCCCTCCAATCACATTAGCCAAAGTCCACGTGAAAAGATAAATTTACTAGGGCTGTTAGATTGTGAGAAGAAGTGACTGATCAGATGGATAGAAGCCTTCCACCAATGCTAGAGACCATCATCAATGATGGGGTGCCATGGCATGCTAGTTGAAGAACATGGGTTTGTTCAATTGGGGCACCTATTCAAACATGTGATGGCATGAATCATATATTCGTGGCACGTGTCATATTTTTGGCAGCCACTGGATCTGAACCCCATGTGGACCCATAACCTACCCCACTTTGGAAAATATATAAAAAAAATGGGAAGAAAAAGTTAGGATAGAAGAATGAAAGGTGGGTTGGTTTCCTGAACCACTTTCCTCTCTTCTCCCACCTCCAGTGTAGCCTAGTGCTTGGAGCTTTTGTCTGTAGAGAATATATGAGCTTGGATGGCCGTTATACTTTCCCCATCATCTCTCTCTCTCTCATATGGTTTTGTTGGAGAGATGTCGTTGTTGTGGGAGGACAGAGGAGTGGTTCTCGTTTTCTATTCTATTCTAGATATTTTATCTGGTTAGGAAGTTTTGTACAAGCAAGTTGTGTAGACATGAGAGTTATTTTTTTTATGGTTACATGACAAGAAACAATACAAACATACAGCGGCCTTTTTCTAATATATTAATATTGTCTTAACACCACCTTAATCCTCATCTCACGCCTGACCCTCAGACACAAAGCCCAAGTCCTGACCCACAAGCCCATTCAAGTTGTCTTGGCCTCTCGGGCCAGAATGGTTATTTTAATGGGGTTCATTAGAACAATGTTGTATTTATCAAGACAAATTAGGACAATCTTGTCAGGTTTTGATCAGATTGAAAAGTCACACCAATCAAAATAGCCATGAGCTAAAGAGTGAAGCACCAAATCAGAATACCTAAGTATTGCTGATGGGCCTCTTTTGTGTATMAAACCAGAAAGAATCATCAGTCCATTATGCGAGCCCATTGGGCCAGCAATTCTTTTGCTGTGAAAGCTAACATCCTTCCTTTAGGGGTCTGAGAGGTATTAACTGATATTGCAATGTAACGTCAGGAGCATCGCAACCAATAAACTGAAGATAGACGTTCTGCAGTTGGAATCATCAATACAGGAGGCCAACTAATTCATTTTATACTTATACTTCTTGATGATTTCAGAATGATAAAATAAGTATGTAAATTTCAATTGGGAGCAAAGTATGCTACACTTTTCAGATAATTAGTTCTAGACTGTGAAATGACAATGAATATCAAAGCATAGATCAATTTGGAGTCAGCAGTCAGCAAGCTTACAGGTTAGAACCTCGTTATTCATTTGGGCTTTGTCTGGGCCTTACGCAAGATATATAGGCCCATAAAAGGAGGCAATTTATGATATGGTGTTGGTCTGTTGGAYAAATGCTCGACCAAATCATCAGTAATAGCATGGTGGGGAGCATGCTCGTCAGGAGAGTTCTTGAACTCCAAAATAAACATGACAAATCATGGTGCTCCGAATAATCTGAATTTGATTGAAGCTATGATTCAAGTTGGGACTTCTGAGTATTTTTATTGAAGGCAATGTGAAGAATCTCCTATTTGGCGATTCAATTTGTTTGATTTTTTCAATGTTGGCGACCAACTTGAGCCCAACGTGACTATGGTATGGTTAAACAAAGTGAGCTTGACCTTAGCTTCGGGCCTTAAACTCTTAAATCCAATCCAGTACATCCTACGTACGCGTGCCAATTGGACTGGATTTGATCCAATCTGATCCAGCTCCATGTGAATCCATTACAAATGGACCAGGTCCAGTCCAAGCTAATGAATATTTTGGATTATTTTGAACCAGTTCGATTTAATGTATGAACCATCCAATCTGTTCAAGTTTGTTTTAATTTAGATTGGTTTCAACCTAAACCTGCTTCATTGACACCTATATTCTTATCTTATATTAATGGATCAGATATTGGTTCAGTCCAACTCAATCCAATATAATTTCATTATGGACGGATTAGGTCCAATTCAATCCAATAAATATTTTGAACCATTAAGTCTGAATTAGTCCAATTCAATATGTATTATTAGTCTATTCAATCCATCCAAATTGATTTCGGAGAAATAGGGATTTGTCCAATACAAATTTTTGATTTCCACTGCAAAACTATAAACATTCAAAAGGTCAACAACCCACACTTATATACCAACGCTCTTCTATGAATTGATATTAATTCTGAGTTGGCACCTACCCCACAGTAATTTGACCCTACAAATCCTAACTCTGGGCTGATCAGTCATTTTCCCAATTGATTTCGGTTTGAACGAAGTACAATAACTGATCCATTGACACCCTTAATCCTACGGAGTACGGACCAGGAAAACCCCTACTACAACTCTAATTTTACCATATGGATTGCAAAAAGGAAATCAGGCTGTTGACTGGTTTAGCTACTCATAGAAGACTAATCCACATAAATCGGGATAGGAGTCATCAAGTTGCTCCGAAATGCCCAAGGCTTGTCTAATCCATTCTTTTACTGCAACCAAAAGAATTTGAGAGAGAGAGAGAGGATCTATTAAAGGATACTCTTGATCCGGGTTTTAACACTCGTTGTTGGAAAGATTACTTCAACGGTTCAATCGAAACGGTTGGTCGAAGTTTCGAACTAGACTTGTTATTGTGTACTTGAAAAAAAAAAAACGCTGTTTGCTTGGGTTCAACCGGTTAACCCAACCCTCAACGGAGCCACTCAACCGATTGTTATCGGTTTGGCTTGAGTGAGATTGTAGTCTAATTGAACGGGGAAAAGCCCGTCTGGGTTAAGTTGCTCAGTCGATCGATCCGAGTAAGGGCCGTAGGTCAAACTGGTTTTCAACTTTCATAGGTTCCTCGGTGAAAGACGCTCGTCGGAAATTCCTGAACAGGATCAAACATTCTGGTGCGCGTTCTGAATTCAATGGCAGAAAACCTGTTTCAAGGGTTGCCGCCTCCATCAAATCGTCCGCCTCAGCCTTCGGTTTCAGAACAATCTTCTGAAGCTACGAAGAAGGAGTCATCTCCGGTTCCAGCTCCCGCTCCCATTCTCAAAAGCGCTCTCAAACGAGAAAAACCTCCTCCCGAACCACAGAATGATGGTACGACATAATCAAGGAAACACTTCTGTTTTACATATCATTTGATCCTTATGCAACTAAGCCTGAATAATTGTTATTGGTTTTTCTAGGGTTTTTAGGGCTTGAAATTCTATAATCTGTTGAAAGCATCTCAATTTCTAATGAAACTTATTTGCAAGTATTTTTTTGAACAATAACACATTTCATTAATCAATCAGAAATATTAATTACAAAGGAGGAGATAGACTTTCTTATCTTCCCAACTGAGGCTTGAGCCCCCCTGAATAAAAGTTAGAACTTATTTGCAAGTATTTCGGATTGATTTATTTTTCCGGTGTCATTTCCATGGACTTCTATGTATTCTTATAACCAGAGTATTGGTTTTACTGTTTTTTTAACACAATTGAATATTGTAAATTATGAGCAGCTGCTGTTGCTGCACCACAAAAGCGTTTGAGGTTCAAAACAACGGTGGATGCCTCTGAGACACAGGTAATAGAAGCGATGCAGAAGATAACATCGCATATAAAGAATCCTGCGAAGTTCAGCAAAGCATCCAAGCTTGCGATGCAACTTATTCAGGCTGGTAGTGTTAAGCAAGGAACTAGTGATTATTTTTTTGCCATACTAGAAACTGCAATGTCTTCTCCAACGGCTTGTACAGACCCTTCGTTGCGAGCAGACTATCATGCTTTATTTTCGGCAGCCCAAGATGTTAGCGATGTGAGGGTTTAGCTCTGGATTTTCCAGTTTTGCAATACTCTTTTTTATTTATGTGCTAAGGTTTGTGAGGTGGATTCTCTGACATATTTTTTTGCTTGCAGTGCCTCAGTAAGAAGCAGAAAAATCAGTTAACGACATGGACAATTAGAGCGGTGGTGGCAAATGACCTATACACAGATGACAGCTTTGTGGTATGCACATTGGTATTAGTAGGCATTACCAATATCATGCTGAAATATAGATATTAAACTTCTAAGTATTGACTTGAAAACTTTGCATACTGGATTATTTTAAAAGGAGATTTGCATTAATTTAATATTGTACATATTCACATATTACAGTCATTTGGGCAGGCCTATTTTTTAAACCGGGAGAAGAAATTCCTATGAGAAGGCTAACAGATTTCCCTTATGTAAAGGTTTTTTAGGACATCTTTCCATGAGTGAGTCTGCTCCATTTTTTTTGATCAATAAGTGAGTCTGCTCCATTTGTTGCAAATAGTAGGTTTCTAATTAAAGCACTTCCCTTTTACATAGTGTACAAATTGTGCTGCTTTTTCTGGCTTTTGCAAGTAAATCAAAATGTTTGCATATTTGAACACTAGCACATGCAAGGATAATTGATTGTCCCTTGCATTTATAGTAAAAAATGCCAACAATGCTTGGGCTTTCTTTCATGAACATAAGATCTTTTTCTATATCAAATCCTTCTAAGAACGTTTAACAGTTTTTCCGGCTAAGAATTAAAATAACACTCCAGTGGTGTCTCATGGAATTAATATCTGCATCATGATAGTAAGGAGAATAATGAACTCTTGTCCCCCATATAGCCATATGTGCTCTCTGTGCAAGAATGATAACACAATGATGGCACAACAAAGGATAGATGCTAAGAATCATTTAGAAAATCAAAATTAAAGACTGAGGCCACTATCTCTAGTGAGTTTAAAATAGTACTTATATTACCTAATCTTGTATGTCAGGATTGTTTAAGCTCTCTGGTCTCTAGGAAGAAAATGTGATTAATGTATATTCTAATAGGTCTTCTATTGACTATCAATTGCCTTTTTGGTAGGATGTTTAGATATTATATAGGGAGGACTACTGAAGTATCATTAGGTCCAAACTCCAAAGGAGTAAGAAGAATATGACCATAAAAATATCTGTGATTCTGTCATTTTGCTAAAAAGGTAAGATTGTTAATCTGTTGAACTTAGAAAGCCATGTTAACTTTATGAAAGCAATTCCAAAAAGGAGAAAGGGCTTCCATGGTTCAGAGAGTGTTGCAATCACCTTTCAATAATTGTGATCTTTTGGCATGCTGGTAAGGTCTTAAAATATCTATAATGATTTTCTCATTTTTTTTCTAGATTTTGTTATTTCAAGAAGTGGTTTAAGAATCAGCAGATGGGGTTAGGGTTATTAGATGATTACTTAGGTTGGGGACTAGGGATTGTTAAGGGATTGCTGAATTTGTTTTAAGCAGTGTTTTAAAAACCAGACAATCAATTGTCAAATCAATGATGAGTTGATGACCAGGTTTACAAGAAAAGGTAGTTTGGCTCTAATTTAACTGCTATTTTCTTATGAATAATTGCTTTTTTATTGAACTCATACTTCAATTGCTAATTGCTAAAAGCCAAATGAACTGTAAGTTTGAAGAAAAAAAAGAGAACAAAAAATTACAGAATGCATCACACATTTAGAACCCAATGCAATAGATGCTTTTTTTGGGCAGATTAAAAAGTACCATTATGTTCTATATCTGCTACAAACTATTGGCAACTTAAAAAATACCAATTATGGTAGGTTTGTTTTTATGTATTTTTGGAATTACCTTTTTTTTTTTATCAATAACTGTGAATTGGATTGAATTAAAAATATGAGAAATATGAGAAATTACAAAGCAAAGGGGCTAAACCATCTTAGCCCCGAGTACAACCATTGAACACCAAAAAACAATTACAAAACAGCCCAAAATATAGAGTTTCTGTTCACCCCTTGCCTAGCTAGACCATCTGCCAGTGAGTTTGTGCTTCTCTTTACCCATTTGTACTGAATTTCAATGTCCTTAGCCAGCCACTTAAATTTTCTCTTTTCATTGCTGTAATTCCATATCCTAGAGTTATCTTCTTTTAACCAGTTCACCACAACTTCAGAGTCTCCTTCTATGATCAGCTTATTAAAATGCATATCCTTGACTCTTTGTACCCCTTCAAGAGCTGCAAGCATCTCAGCCCTCAAGGAAACTTTTGGAATTTGGAATTACCTATTTTCCATATATTCAGTGTAAATCATAACATTAAATAAAATTTATCCTTTCCATGACTCATAACATAGTTAGGACAAATCTCTCTTCTTTATTTCTTTAAAAAATTCCCAATTAGCCTTAATGTTATCACACTGTTATTTGTTCCTTTCTCTTCATGTTGAATAGTGGAAAACATTATATAAAGGTATGAAATTTGACCCTTACTTTTTGTTTTTAGTTAAGTTAGAGGTGTTTGAATTCTTACTATTTTCTCCTGGGATTACTATATGTTCATTATTTCTCAAATTGTGTAACATATATGGATAGGTCTGACCAATCCAACCATGGCCAGACCGGGATGTAGGATGTATAGAAACTTCTGTTTTATGGGCTTGGAACAGGGTTTGGGAGTAGACCTATTCATGGGCTGGGCTCAGGCTTGGCTTTTGCCAAAATTTGAATGGGGCCCAGCCTGAAGCCCAAGCCCGACACAGTGTAAGTCAGGCCCAAAGCCTGGCCCGTGAACAGATCTATTTGGGAGTTAATTATAAATCTGTAAATCATGTTTAAAGTAAGAGGATTTATGAAGAATAGGATGAGTCAATTATCTATTAAAAAAAGTATAGGAAGGTTGGTACCAAATCAACTTTAAAAAGGAAATTAAGAAAACAGAAGGGAAGAAGAGATAAGTCATTGCTGGAGTTAGCACAACAGGTTCCTTGGCATCAGCACCAACCAAAGCATGGAGTCTGCACCTTTGGATGTTTGAATCACTCCAACAGCAGTAATAGAAAAAGAAAAGGCCTTAAATATACTTATGAAAAGGAAAGGCCTTAAATATACTTATGAGAAATGGGGAAGGGTTAACTAGCCCTTCCCTTTGTTTTCCTGCTTTAAGACCAAGAAACACCACTAAATCGGAAAGTAGGCAATCCTAGTTGACATAGGACTATGATTTTGATGTGCTAATAATAACTTCTAACCCAATTAGGGAAACTATCTTCTAGTTTAATTAGGAAAACCAAATTCTAATGTGATTAGAAAAACTACTAGTGTTTGAAATTTTCTGACACTAGTTATAAAAAAATTTACAATAATTTCCCTACTATTTATAAATACATAAAAATTCAGAAAATGTCTTGCTTGTCTCATTGACAAATTATCACTTTGATTGGTAGTCTGGTTTCTATTTCTATAACAACCGTAACTTAATAATAAAATTTCCAACTTATTCCTGGATAGGGACTTGGGATGATTTCCTTCCCTATTAGTATACTTCCTGCAGTTGTTAGGAAGGATTGAACCTATTTTATATGATATAACTTCCCCCTCTCTTCAGTCTTCATACCTCTGGTCATTGGCTTTCTGTCTAAAACCCTGAAAGGCTCAAAAGAAGCTTGATCAACTTATGTAATTCTTGAGTACCATTTATAATTGGATGAAATTTTAAATTTCTAATTCCAAGCAGAATAAATAATACAATTTATTGCATAGTAAGTTTCTATAATTAGTACATGTTAAAGAATGGAGATCTTACAGGAGCATGCTAGCAGAATATCTCTGAGGTGGTTGCAGCTCCCTCAATGACCAATACATGGGCCCAGAGCCCCAGACTAATCTCTATGCAGGCATTCCTAATTTCCTTTTCAGGTTCTTTGGTGGCTATTGGCCGTAAAAGTTGCTGTTTATTATTAAGCTGACAACAGAAAGTTCTCCCAATTGTGAAAATTTCCATTTCTTCTAGATAGAGAATAGGGAAATAAAGGTCTATTTCTAGTTTCAACTTGCTATCTGCTGTAAGGAGCCAATTTGTTGGTAATATGCCATATACTGAAGAAGAATAGAAACTACAAGCAAGATGGTTAAGCTCTCAACCACCTCTTAATGGCACTTTCAGAAGTGTCATCCCTCAGTTTTTTTTTTTTTTTTTTTGTTTTCACCTGTCAAAGGTTTTCTTAGAGTTAGTAACCACACTCTTAGTAACCACAGCGGAGTGCCTTTTAGCCTAAGAGACTAGGAGCCCACTTAGGCATCATCTAGGTGATGTTTTTTTACATGATGAAGGGTAATTTTAGCTTAGCTTTTTTCTCTATTCTATTTATGAATAGGCTTGTTTCTGTAGCATACATGGGCTGGGTGAGACTCTGGTATCTGCAGAAACCACACTAGATGTCCTTGGGAATCAATTATTACCATATTATCTATCTTCTCTTGCCATGTTAGATATGATCCTCAAGTGGGGAATAGGGTGAAGTTTTGGGCAGATTTGGCAACCTCTAGTAATGGAAATCTTTCTTGGGACCTCTATTAATGGAAACCACACTAGATGTCCTTGTGTACCTTATCCAAAATTTGAAGTTTGAACCTTGTATTCCCCCTTTGGGCTCAGATGAGAGGGTGTAGACTGTAGATCCCCAACTCCAATGGTGTGTTTTATTCTTTCCTCAAACAGCTAGAGCCAACCAATAGCCATTTTCTCCCTCGCCTTTCCCTTGAAAGCAATTTGCGCTGGCCCCTCTCCCCTCAAAGTTAAGGCTTTCTGTTGGAAAGCCTATCTTCAAATCATAAACACCTGTGACAGACTCCAAAAGAAAAAGAAAATCTTGGCAAGGTTCAAAGTATCGATACGATACGCCCCATAAAAAAAATGTCTTTAAAAATCATTAAAAAATAAAACACCTATTTACAGGTGTTTTGGGACCCTGGTTTATTAAAATAAAAAAACCATTAAAAAATGTCTTTAAAAATCATATTTTGAAAAAAAAACTAAAAAAAAAACCATTGAGCGTGTGTTTTTAAGTACCGTTATGCCCCTGCCGATACACAGGGGCGTATCGATACTTTGAACCTTGAATCTTGGTGCTTTACCCCATATGTGTGTGTTTTATGTGCTCTAATCATCTTTTTCTCTCTAGACATTATGCATGTCAGGTATGGAATCACTTATGTTCTCTATTCAGTAGATGTTTGGTTGCACCACAAAACACAATGAATCTTTTTAAACAAGATATTATGGGTTGTCATACTAAAAGAATGAAATTGCTATCACACTACTGGTTATCTATGGGTTGTCTTAGTTCTAAAGCAATTAGAAGTTGATTTAGGTCAGTTTCCTAGTCCAATTAGATTATGTAAAGGGATATCTGAGTTTATAAGTTGAGTCAATAAATCAAGATACTGTAATTTTATGAAATCAAGTTTGGTTTCGTAAATTCCAGTTGTTGCTAGTATATTTTTTTCCTCTTTTTTCCTCTCTCTCTCTCTCTCTCTCTCTCTCTCTCCTATATTTTCTTCTAAGTGAACTATTTCTTCGCTGTTTACTACGATAGCAAGAGTTCTCTCTGATTTCTTATCATTCTTTGATGGCCGGCAAACTTTGTACTTGTTTTTCCATCCCCATTTTTCATCCTTGATCACCTATTTTGTTTGATAGTAAAGATAAAATTCATTTAGGCTATGTTTGGTTTGAAGGAAAAGGTAGGGAAAGGAAGGGAAGCCAATACAAGGTTTCCCTACCTTTTCCTTCAAACCAAACATAGCCTTAAGTAAAAAAGAAGGCATAAGGAAAGGTAATAAGACATCACCTGAAGGATAATTAACTACAATAAAAGCAAACAAAACATCGCTCAATTACCAATCAAAACAGACCACCCCAAAACCCCAAAACCAAAATATAAGCCTCGTACAACAATGACAAGCAAATTAACCTTCGACATCTTACTCAATCTGTTCAAATATGCCCTTTACACCTTTACCTTGTTTATGCGATATGACATGGTTTAGCTGCACCTTAAAAATTATTGTACTTTACATATAGAAAACACCAAGGTTGAGGCACAAGACAATCCCCAAAAAGTGCCTTATCGTCCAGGCATAACCTATGCATTGCCTTGGCAACCATGATATCTCTGGCTTGATTTTCATCATATAATGTTAACATTTTATGCCAAGTTTCTTTTGAGAATGAGGACAAATTCATGAGAGAAGAATAGAAGTTCTATTGATGATCTTGTGTTTTTTTTTTTTTTTTGAAAACACGTGCAAATTTATTTGAAATGGTGCTTTTATTTGTGGCACTATCATTCAGTTTTCAAAAGCAGCCGGACGGATAAAAGAATACATATCAAGCCTTCCTGTTGCAACCAAGGATGATGACATGGAAGAAACTGTTGCGCTAAAAGATGAGGGAGGAGGAACAGATGCAAATGGCCAAGAACAGGAGACTTGCTTATCTGTTTCTCCTGAAGCACATAGGAAAGAAGAGTTCGATCCTTTTGGGCTAGATGCCCTGATTCCGAGCACATCTAAGAAAGATGAAAAAGCCATAGGAAAGAAGGAGGTGACCGCTATGAGCAAGAAGGTACAGGAAGAGGAATCTCTTGGATTCCTCAAGTCACAGAGAGAAGCTTTAGTTCTTTGTTTAGAGATTGCTGCAAGGCGTTACAGAATTCCATGGTCAGATTCAATGCTTCTTATTCTGCATCTTATGCCTTGTTTATTTATTATTTTAACTTGCACAGGGAAAGAAACACAGTGGTGTTAATGCTGTAATACATCATACCTAATCGTGTTTTATTTCCTTCAGGTGCCAAACTGTCATTGATATCCTAGTAAAGCATGCCTTTGATAACATAGAGAAGTTTACATCACAACAACGGAACGCAATTCAGAAACTTTGGGCATCTGTACGAGAGCAGCAAGCTCGTAGGAAGCAAGGGAAATCTGTAACTGGGAAGCTGGACATGAATGCATTCGAATGGCTTCAGCAGAAATATGCTAGCGAGAAGATTAGCATTCGGCATGCTGTGGGTGGAGGGGGTGATCGTCGTGCGGAACAGTGGCTTGGTTAATCAATTACCACCGAAATATCAATGTAAAGTTGTAAACTACTTAATCTATAAAAAGATTAATTTAACGGTTCGATTGAACCAGTTGCTCAAAATTTTGAACTAGCCATGTTATCCTGGTTAGAATGGTAAAACAGTTTTTGCTCGGGTTTAAACTTTAAAATATAATTTAGATATTAGAAATAATCCAATAAACCAGTCAATCAAGCAGTCAAATTCACTGATCTGCCATTGCCTTAGCTGTTACTGGTCTCTCCTTGGTCTTCCACCTCTTCTTCACCCCATCCCTGTCTCCTCAGTCCTCTTCCACCTCTATCTAGTCAGTCCTCTTCCACCTCAGTCCTCTTCCACCTCTATCTAGTCACCTTCCACCTCAGTCCTCTTCCACCTCTATCGCCATCTCTCTCCTCAGTCCTCTTCCACCTCTATCTAGTCACCTCACCTCACCTCACCCCATCCCTGTCTCATGATGTATCCTCCCTCATCAGTCCCCTTTCTCCCTTTCCCCCAACTTTGGTCTCTCTACTCCTTGACATCCCAGCAACCCTTTCTCTCGATCTTGGACTCTCTTTCCATTCCCACCAATATCATAAGACCTGTTTGTTTTTCGAATTTTGAAGGGGAAAGTCGGTCAATAAGATTTTGGTTCTAATTGACGATTCCCATATTCTTTTTTTCAAATTTATTTAGAATATACGGAAAATTCATTTTTATTAGGTATCACTTATGTAGGTAAGTGATATCAATCTCTCAGGTGAATAAATAACTTTGAACTTCTAAATTCAACTTTTTAACATATTGAACGGTTTAACTTGTATTCAAAAGTATTGATCAAAAGTTTGGAATTTGCTTCACATATTGTGCTTCAGCAAAAGCCTCAGTTGTAAGTAGGGGGTATCCAAAAACATCGGAATCTGATTTAATCATCTAATTGGCGAAAACTGGAATTAGAGTATGATATAGGAATCTTAAGTCAGGTTTGGATTTAATTCAAGTCCATTTATATTTCTTTGAGACAAAAAAAAAGAAATTAATATTAATAAATTTATATAAAAGTTTTATTATAATTTATATATTGTAATATATAAAACTATATGTATTTTAAATATACTTTGGGTCTAGTTTGGTCCCTGAACTTTAAAGTGTGACAATTCAGTATCTAAACTTTTAAAACGTGACAATTCACCTACCGTTAACTAGCTGTTAACTAGCCGTTAAGTGGCATTTGAAAATACACAAATACCCTTCAAGTGTTAATTTTCTTTATCAACCATCTAAACATTGACAAAAAATTAATAGTCCCAAATCCTTGCCTTTTCCATTCAAGAAAGTTGGGGTCATGTTTGAGTGGGCATTCCGGTGACCCCAACTTTCTTGAATAGAAGAGGCACTGAGGCAAGGATCTGAAACTGTTAATTTTTTGTCAATGTTTGGATGGTTGATAAAGAAAATTAGATGACATTTAAAGGGCATTTTTATCTTTTTCAAATGCCACTTAACGGCTGGTTAACAGTTAGTGGTCCTACTTCTTATGTGTCAACTTTAACCAAGCCAACATTTTTAAGAATTGAACAAACAAAAAGACCTTTTTATGTGTCAATATTTGGCTTCAGTGGTCCTACTTCTTGGTCCACTCTAAGTCCGATAGCATTTGGTGATTAAGATCTCCTTTGATGATCGGCCACAACTTGGAAATGTATACTAGCATTCGGTTTATACAAAGGTATTATTAGAATTTAGATTGCAGGTAAGTATATTGTTGGGTGAGAATTGTTTTATTGCATTTCTATGTGTTTTAAGGTATATTATTTTGATAGAAAATTCCAGCCCATCATAAAAAAATATAAGAACAATCCCAAGTAATTAAAAAAATTAGAAAGGATAAAAAAAAWGGAAAGAAGACTTTTACCTGGGTAAGTTATTTACCCAGGTAAATGCACTTAATCGGGTAAGTGCATTTACCCATGTTTTTATTTTATTTTCTAGGTAAAGAAGGCAATGGCCATTTTAGCCATAAAAATTCATTATTAAAAGGGACATTTATCCCATTCAAGTGTTAGTGACTTTCTTCCAGGTGGGAAAATTATTTACCCACTTGGGAGATATACCCAGGAAAATAAACTTTCCCTGGTCCCTACATAAATTTGAAAAAAGAACATGGGTTTCTTGGTCAATGGGAATCAAAATCCCATTGACTAACTTTCCTCCTTCTCAAAATCCAAAAAAAGAGCGCCCCCTCAATTGTTTTATGGGTATTGCAAGCTTTCTTTTACATATGCAAATAAAGGAATGGCAGGCAACTCCCATGAGAGAGATAACGCAAGCATTCTTGACAAATACATGGTCTATATATGCACATCGAATTAGAAATATAGATTTGTGATCACAAATGATATTGGCTCAAGTCCTTGCTATGGGTGCATCCCCTGACTCTAGTTTTGAAACAAGTTCATTGATCTTGAGTGCCTAAGAGTTTGCATGGTACTAGACCTGTTCATGGCCAGACTCAGGGTTAAACTTTTGCGAAAATTTGAATGGGCCTATCATGAAGAGAGCTTGAAACTATGTGAAATCCCCGGTCCATGAACATGTGAACAAGTCTGCTGTACAAGTAGAGTCAGGCGACTTGTTACAAGTGGTAACTTCAAAGACTCGACATGAGTTTTGAACCTGTAACACATTCTCTCAAATAATCAATCATTGTTCCTTTTATACACGATGAAAGCATATACATAATGAACAAAGCATTACTAAAGCTCTGTTCAATGCAATGTAACTACGAACACCTCAACATGTTGTCATACTTGTGGTTATGGAATAGCAGCAAGTGTGCTAGTTGTTAGGAATTTCTCACTTCTGAGAAAAATTTTGCTGTGTATACATCAGTTAAGTGACTTGTTACAATCAAAACTTCTATGCAAAATACAAATAACTGCTTTGTTACTTAACTTAATACAGGTGATTCTGGAATCTGCTCTTGTAAATTTACCGAGCCTTGTCCATTTCTTATACATTCATATGTCATGTACATGGATAAACCTCAAGGCGGCATTTGTAGGCATCAAAAATTTTGTACAATGTGTCAATATTGCAAATAGGCCAGATGTTAAAATTCAAGGTGAGATCCCAAATTTATAAATAATTCAAGTCGAAATTAGGTGGGTTTTGTTCATGTCCAATTCTACAAAGGGAGCGTTCTTTTTTTAGATTTTGAGAAGGGGGAAAATTGGTCAATGGGATTTTGGTTCCCATTGACCAAAAATCCCATGTTCTTTTTTTAGATTTATTTTTTTGAGTATCACTTACCCACTTAGGAGGTGGATAAATAACTTTTCCACCTAGGGGGGAAATTGCCAACACTTGAATGGGACAAAAATACCCCTTTTAATAATAGATTTTTATGTCTAAAATGGTCATTGCCTTATTTACATGAAAGATAAAAGAACATGAGTAAATGTTCTTACCCGGGTAAGTGTTTCCTAGGGAAAACTTACCCAGGTAAGTAACTTACCAAAAACAGGGCCAAAAGAATAAAGTTCAAAATCAATGGACTCAAGTAGATGCACTAAAAGGGTATCTAAACTTCATACATATAGGCCTTGTTCGCTTTTCGGTAAGTTACTTACCTAGGTAAGTGTTTCCTAGGAAAGACTTACTCGGTAAGTGCATTTACCCATGTTCTTTTATTTCCTGGGTAAATAAGGCAATGACCATTTTAGCCATAAAAAATCATTATTAAAAGGGGCATATTCATCCCATTCAAGTGTTAGTGACTTTCCTCCAGATGGAAAATTTATTTACCCACCTAGGAAATATACCCAGGAAAATAAACTCTCCAATCCTTACATAAATTTGAAAAAAGAACATAGGTTTCTTGGTCAATTGGAATCAAAATCTTATTGATCAACTTTCCCCCCTCTGAAAATCCAAAAAAAAAAAAAAAAACCGCCCCCAAAGAGTTATTTARAAAGAAAACTAAATAAGGAGTAAATCCTATTCAAGATGATTAGTCTAACCTTAGTTCTAAAGATAAAGAGGAAATCTTATCTCCTAACGGACTTGGCTTTGCTTTACAAAGATCTCTAAGGTGCAACTTCAATAAGATCTACAAGCATCGATTTAGGAAAAAATTTCAACTCTTGGATCGTAGAGCACTCTCAAATTCATTAGAGCTCAAGCTTTTCAAACCTTTATATTGAGTCTTTAAAGAAAATGAATAAGAGATTTTCTTATTATAAAATTGATTATACCTCAGAGGTTTGTATGCCATTCTTTTAAATATCATAAATTTGATATTTGTCATCATTTTCTTTGTTTTTGGATTTTTAGATAAGGAATTTGTGTTGTTAATATGCTAACACGAGTCTCGAAAGGGGCATATACACCCTTGTTCAAGCATCACTAAATTTGGCTAGATTAAAAGTTTTGAAATTCGCTTCTCGATATTTTATTTGAAATACTTTTTGGTAAAATTCAAATAGGATAGAGAACATTTTGGTACGGGTTAAATAATTTGATAAGTTGATTCAACTATTTTAGCTTGTTCAAAAAACCTCTAGAGGCGGGATTCGGTCCCATGTCTGCTACAATCAGCCAGAGACCTATCAACTATCCATTTGGCACCATGTTCCATGGGGTTATCAACTAACCAGTTGGCACCTTGCGAAAAAAAGATTAAACATCAATGTAGTAAAATAATGGTTAATTAATTAATGAAGCTGGGTGGGATCTAGGGATGTCAATGGATCGGATGAAATGGTAAACCCTATTTGGCCCGACCTGGTGGGATCAGGGTAGGGTTGCACTTCTTTGACTCGAGTTGGGCTCGGGTTGGATTTGGTCTTTGGATGACCCACCCCGTGGGTCATGATACCCTGCATATATACAACGTATTCTTTTTAGATCTTCAAAGCTATTAAAAATATAATGGAAATGCTACGGGTTGGGTCAGGTTGGTTCAAGTTAAACCCTATAGGGTCATATTGGGTTGCAGCGATTAACACAGAATCCAGAGTTGTGAGTGAGTTAGAGCAAGACAAACGATGAAAACAATTGGTCCATGGATGGAAGTGGTGATTGAAAACTTCTTCAATTG